TGGGTGTGTTTTCCTGGCAAAGCATGGCCCAGACTCCACCAGGAACCCTTGGGGTTCTTGACTTGAAATGTTTGCAAAACTATATTGAGAAGAGAAAAAAAATATGGAATTAAATCTCCTGCAGATAACAGGAAGACAATGCAGGAGGGCTCTGAGCACTGTCACAGAGACAGCAGCTGCTCCTCAGGGCACAGCCCTGTTCCAGCTGCAGCAACTGAAGTGTTTCCAAAGCACTGCATGGGCTGGGGCTGGGATGCTCATCAAGAATAATGGGACTTATTAAAGTCAGTGGTGGCTTTTGTTGCATCTCCTGACTCAAACTCAATGCATGATTACAGGCATTTAGGCCTGCCAGCTTGTCTTGCCATGTCCTGCAGCACATGAAAGGAGGATCTGGGGCTGGAGTTAGATACCCTAATGAGTGTCCAGGCATGTGGAACCAGAAAATAATCCATCCAGAGCAGCACATTTAAGCCCAAATGTGCTGGTTTGAGCTGAAGTAGAGTTAACTTTCTTCATAGTGGCTAGTATGGGGCTATGTTTGGGTTTTGTGCAGAACACAGAGTTGATAATGCAGAGATGTTTTTGTTATTGCTTACACAGAGCCAAGGCCTTTGCTGCTTTCCGTACTGCCACACTGGGGAGGAAGTTGGGGGTGCATGGGAGATTGGGAGGAGACACAGCTGGGACAGGTGACCCAAACAGACCCAAGGGATATTCCATACCATAGGACATCTTGCTCAGTACATAAGGTGGGAGGAAGAAGGAGGAAGGGGGGACATCTGGAGTGATGGTGTTTGTCTTCCCAAGGAACTGTTACATGTGATGGGCCCTGCTCTCCTGGAGGTGGCTAAACACCTCCTGTCTGTGGGAGCAGTGAATTAATTCCTTGCTTTGCTTTGCTTGTGTGTGCAGCTTTTGCTTTCTCTATAAAACTGTCCTTATCTCAACCCATGAGCTTTTCTAGTTTTTACCCTTCTGATTCTCTCCCCCATCCCGTTGGTGGGGGAGTGTGTGAGCGGCTTCGTGGTTCTTGGCTGCTGCTGAGGTTAAACCACGACACCAAAGCATGTGGGCAGCCTCAGATATGTCATGTTTCCTTTGCAGAGGAGCAGGCAAGGCAGTAAGGATTGAGATTTTAGGGTTTGTGTCCCACCAAGACCACGTTGCTCTTGCCTCCAAACACTGATGGGCCAGCAGCAAGCAGAGCAGCAAATGTGAGAAGCCAGGTAAGGTCCTGCACACTTGGGAATGAGATCTTCCCTCTGTGGGTGGTGGGGAAAGCCTTTAACAAAGGCTATTCTGTGTCCCCGTTCACAGGATGGAAACTGCCTATGTTCAGCTGAGCTGCTCAGTCCGGGTTGGTCATTTTATTTCAGAATATGCAGATGTTGAATTAACTGTTGCCTTGGGGCGTGTTCTGGGGAGAATGGACTGGCCTAACCCTTGTCTTCCCACATCCCAGCAGGGCAGGGAAGATTTACAGGGAGTGATTGTGTGGGGACACTGGACCATGGAAAAGGAGGTTGGGTGTATATAGGGTGGGACCCTTCACAGTCATTCAAGAGCAAATGAGATGTGACACATCTTTTATGTCATGGGCATTTAAAAGGCCTTGGGGAGGACCACACATCTTTCTGTTGACCAGGACAGACCTAAAGGCTTGGGAGCTGCTTGTGCCCATGTGCTAAAAGGGGAAGAAAATTGGCCTGGTTGAACATTTGGTTGGAATTGAGGGAGAAAGGAGAGGATTTGACTGTTGGAAGAAGGGGCAGACAGGTCAGGAGGGTTATAAGGGTGTCATATGCAGGAGAAAATGAGAAGGGTCAGAGCCCAGCTTGAACTTAATCTGGCTCCTGCCATAAAAGACAATAAAAAAAAGCTGTTGTAAATACATCAGCAACAAAAGGAGGACTAAGAATCTCCATCGTCTATGGGATTTGCATGGGGGTTGGCCTCTTCTCTCAGATAGTAAGTGACAGGACAAGAGGAAATGGCCTCAAGTAGTGCCAGGGGAGGTGTAGATTGGATTTTAGGAAAAATTTCTTCACCAAAAGGGTGGTCAGCCCCTAGCACAACTGCCCAGGGCAGTCGAGGAGACACCATCCCTACAAGGATTTAAAAGCGGTGTGGATGTGGCACTTGGGGACACGGTTAGTGGTGGCCACACTGCCACCAGTGTTGGGGAAATGGTTGGACTTGATGATCTTAGAGGGCTTTTCCAATCTAAATGATTCTGTGATTCAGCACTTTCCTGTGGTCTGTTCCCCTGTGCCAGCAGAGTGTGGTTAGGGCTGGGATGGAAGATGAGGATGGCTGAGCTGTGGTTAAAGCACTTGGCTCTGAGCATGCAGCACATGCTTGGGAAGGTGGGATGGGGGAACTGGGGAACAGGAGCTGACTGGGAGCAGGCACACACTGAAATAACACTGATGGCTTTGCCTGTACCTTGTAAGCGTTTGTGTGTACATGATAAATATTCCGCAGTCCTTACACCTCTTCAGCCCTAGCTGCTCCTGCCTTTGTGCTTCCACCAGGCTCTTTACCTGCCCCTGTGCCTGGTGCCCCTGCAGTGGGCATCTGCCCTGTCCTGGGGCAGCAGTGCTCAGAGGAGAGGTGGCACTTCTGTCCTCCTGCTCCTCTCTGGATGGAGCAGTGGAGCCAGCAGGGAGCTCTGCAGCTGATTCATGGCCTGAAGGGGTGAGGGGAGTGGTGCCTGCTAGTTAGGGACTGCAGGGACAGGACAAGGAGCAATGGGGAGAAATTGAAAGAGGGAAATTGAGATTAGCTATTAGGCAGAAGTTTTCCCTGTGAGGGTGGTGAGACACTGTCCCAGGTTGCCCAGGGAGGCTGTGGCTGCCCCAGCCCTGGCAGTGTTCACAGCCAGGTTGGCTAAAGCCTTGAGCAACCTGCTCTGGTGGGAGGTGTCCCTGCCCAGGGCAGGGGGTTGGGGCTGGATGGTCTCTAAGATCCATTCCAACCCCTTAGCAATCTATGAATCTATGAACTAGAAGAAAAAGGGGTGTGTGTATGGCAGAGACAGAAGAGAGGGAAAAGCAAATTAGATTTCTTGCTTTTATTATACAGGATTGTATGTACAAGGTCACCTTTCTCCCAAACATCAGCATCACAGTCAGTTCATAGCAAAAACTGCAGCTCATCTCTCCAAATCTAGAAAACAGCTCTACAACAGCTCAGTACCACCCAGTGCAGACATTGCCCAGGAAGTGGAACGGGAGGGGAAATCACGGTCATTCCTTCAATCCCTCAGCAATCCTTCCCAGCTAAGAATGCAAATAAAACGTTGTGCTTCAAGAGCCATGCTTGCTCCAGGATGGCCCTCAGGGCATGAAGCATTGCTCCCCTGGGCTTGGTTTCCCCTTCACCCTTCAAAGAGAGCCGGGGATGAGGTCTGGCCTCGAGCACAGCCTGGGCCACACGTTGTGTGGAAGGGTTTGAGCAAGGAGAAGGTGTGGACACCATTCTGGTTTCAAAGCACTGATGTGTGTGTGGTTTGGAGGGGAAGGAGGAGGGGCAGGCAGGGCATGTGGGATCTCAATAAAGTGCTGTGTGAGTTTCAGCCCCATCTACCCCAGGACGGAGGAACACAAGAGGAGAAAGGCTGAGACCTCTTGGGTGCTGTGGTGTTAAGGGTTCACACCACGAGCCCTCTGCTCACAGGATAGGCCGGGGGCAAAAGCAGCTTGAACTCGGGTAGCAGGGGAGGTGCTTGCACGCCCACATGCATCGTGCTTGGGGTATTCCCTGTCACCAGTGTCACTGTGTGGACCCATCAGGCTGGGGATGGAGCACAGGCAGGAGCAGGAGCTGTTGTGCTGCTCTCCAAGCATGTCAGGTTGGTGTGGAGACTCAGCAAGACTGGGGCAGGAGGAGACATGGGCACCCTGGGGAAGGGGCTGATGTCTCTGGCACTGAGCTGCAGAAGTGGGTGCTCTACATCCCTTCCAGGGAGCAGCTGGTGCAAGCAAAGGGTCTCATGCTCACACCCCCTCACTCTGCAGAGTGAACCTTTACTCGCTCACTCTGCTCATAGTGCTTTTTCAGTGGAGAATGAGGAGCCCAAACCACTGAAGGTGACATATGCTTTGTTTCTCCTGCTTGGGATCAGCTGCTTTCTTGCAGCTTCCTCTCCTCTTCCCTCTTCAAGTAGCTTCCCAGAGCACAGCCCATGCTCCAGCACCAACACTTTTCCACCTGGAAGTGATTGTGGACCCACAGCAGCTCATGGGACAAAAGAGATGTGACAGCAGGTGACCTTTCTGGAGGACAGCTCACCCCACACCTTCTTCCTCAACAGGATCTTCAGGGTAAGCACACAGATTGTCCAAACTGAGACAGTACTTCTCTTCTCATCAGCAAATGCTCTGGCTCTCACCTTGCACGGGAACAAATGTCTTATGGGGTCCCTGCAAACAGCTCTGTAACACCTCCGACTCCTTTGAGGACACAACCACTCTCCCATTCTCCAGTCCATGGTGGTGATGGGTTGTGCAGGGTTGGCTCCTGCCTCCAGGGCCTGCAGAGCTCCAAATCCATTGCAGGGGGAGTGGGGATTCACTGGGGGTATGAGTTTTCTTTGTCTTTGCTTTACAGATGGATGGAAGATGTGGGGCCATGTTTCTCCTTTTGAATGCCAGGTAGAGATGACAGCAGCACTTCCATTCAGCTTGTCTTGCTCAACGTGCCAGAACAGGGTTTAGCCTCGTGCTTTCCTCACACTGTTGCTCACTGCTCCTCTGAGTGGGCTGCAAGGACAGAAGGGGAAGAGGCATCATAGTCCTTGAGCCCCAAAGATGTGTCATTTAGGAAAGGGAGTGAGGGGCTGTGACTCAGCTGAGCAACCAGGCTCTGTGCTAGGAAATCACAGAGGATCAGGGGAAAAGAACATCTGGAGCTGCAACCTCCCACCCAAACATGCACAGGACAAGAGTTTCTGCTCAGAATCAGCCTCTGAAGAGCAGTGTGGGAGCTGTACCTGGTTACTGTAGTCTGGCATCCTCCACATCTGTGTAATGGCTGTTCTCCTGAGGGAAAAGGGAACCAGAAACAATAAATCAGCCCTGCTGCCCTGCCTGGGACGCTGTGACACATGCAGTGACCAGCTGGTGCCCTGGTGTAGGAGAGCAGTGCCAGGATGCTCAGTGCGATGGAGGAGGTACCAAATACACCTGATATGGACACCTGGTGCCATGACTGTGGTACCAAAAATTTCCTCTGGCCTTTTATTCTGGAATGGCTGTGCCTGAGAGACCTGGGGATGTGATTCCCTCTTGGATTTTGAAGTCACAGAATCATAGAATCCTTTGGGTTGGAAAAGACCTCTAAGATCATCAAGTCCAACCATTAACTCAGCACTCGCTTCTCTGAGCAGTGCCGTGCCAGTGCCACCCTTTCAGGGAAGAAATTTTCCCTAATGTCCAATCTAAACCGTTGCTGGACCAACTTGAAGCCATTTCCACTTGTCCTGTCCCTTGTTTCCTGGGAGCAGAGCTTGGCTGCACCTCCTGTCAGGGCATTGTGGAGAGCAAGAAGGACCCCCTAAGCCTCCTTTTCTCCTCCAAAGTTCCCTCAACTGCTCCTCCTCAGACTTGTGCTCCAAACCCTTTAGCTCAAAGGGACTGGGATGAAATTAAACCCACTTTCCTCTGTGTTAAGTCTGATCTGAGCTACATCAGTCAGCACTTCCCCTAAGCATGTTCCAGGAAAGGTCTGGAGCCTCTGGCACCACTCACTGTGTTTTGTCTAGATGCCTAATATCATATATTTCAATAAAGTTACTGCATGTGCTTGCACAGTTCATGCCTTGTTGCAGCAGTGTGAGAAGTTAATTTGGGAGCCAGGAACAGCCTGCACCAGGGACTAGGCACTCCCATGTCACTGGAACTGCCAAGTGCAACCGCACGGATGTAACTGTCATGTGAATGTAACTGCATGGGGTAATTATTAGGAACTGCAGGGACAGGACAAGGAGTAAGGGGGAGAAACTGAAAGAGGGAAATTCAGATTAGCTATTAAGCAGAAGTTTTTGCTGTGAGGGTGGTGAGACACTGTCCCAGGTTGCCCAGGGAGGCTGTGGCTGCCCCAGCCCTGGCAGTGTTCACAGCCAGGTTGGCTAAAGCCTTGAGCAACCTGCTCTGGTGGGAGGTGTCCCTGCCCAGGGCTGGATGATCTCTAAGATCCATTCCAACCCCTTAGCAATCTATGAATCTATGAACCACACTCTGCATTAGCTTTTGCAGGCAGCAGAACACTTTGGAAGAACAAGCTGACAACAATCATGGGATGTAGATACAGCAATTTCTTTTAAGGAAGAAAACCTATTTTTCCTGAGTATTTAGTATCTTCCAATAAAACTGTTTTCCATTAAGTGACCTCCTTTGGCTGCAGGGCTGTATTACCCAAACTCTCTTACCAGTTCATCTTCACAGTCCTCCCGTGTGAGACCCTCCTCGCCCTCATCCCCGTTCAGCGGCTCCTCCGTGTTGGCCTCTGCCTCTGACGCTGTGTCCTCCTGAGACACTTCACTTTTGCTGCTCTCTGCCTTCTTCCTTACCTCTGTGGGAGCAAGAGCCAAGACACAAGGATCAGGGGCTGGGGGCAGTGGCCACAGCTTGAGCACACCAGTCCAATGGCTTTACCCCCAAGTTCAGTTGAGCATAAATAGTGATCTCAGGGTGGTTTTCTGCAATGGGAAGTTTTGCTGACTTTGAGGAGCTGCCTGATTGCAGTCATGGAGAGGGCAGAGCAGTTTCTACATCCCTCTGGTGTGGCTGTGGGAGCCACATTAGGATAGGATAGGATAGGATAGGATAGGATAGGATAGGATAGGATAAGCTTCAGGTCAGCCCCAAGGCATCCCCACTAACCTGCAGAGAGTTTCTGTTCCTCAGCAATCTGCTCCAGCCGGCCCAGGAGAGCATCAATGTTGGATTTGATCTGTGTCAGCTCAGTTTTGATTGTTTGCAGCTCACTGCTCTTCACTTGGAGGGAGGAAGGAAGGAAAGAAAGGCATTCAGTGCCCTGCAGAGCATCCACAGAGCCTGCCTCACCCTGGGCCTGGCCCAGACTGACCTTGCTGAGAAAGGTTAACACAGAAGGAGAAACCCCACACTGGAAACATGCTCCTCAAACCTTCTGCTGCTACAGCAGCAGCAGAGAAGCTGTGGGGCTGCACTCCAAAATCCCTGTGAACCTGCTGTCCAGACAGGTTATAAAGGCTGACATCAGGCCTTGGCATGCTCTGGCTGTACTTGCACCTTCCTCAGCTGCATCCACAGTAGCTTGGGCTGTTGTTTCCAGATGTTTGGCCTTTTTAAGGTTTGCCCTGGTAGCATCTGGCCTGAGGGGGAATGCCTGGGGCTGGGAGGTCATAGAATCATAAGACCATCAAGGCTGGAGGAGACCTCTAAGATCATCAAGTCCAGCCCTTAACCTGTCACTGCTGTTACCCCTGAACCCTAAACCATATCCTCCAGTGGCAGATCCAGACACGTCTGAAACACCTCCAGGGATGGTGACTCCACCACTTCCCTGGGAAATATTCCAGTGCCTGAAAACCCTAACAGGGAAAACATTTCTCCTAATATCTAGCCTGACTCTCCCCTACCCCATCTCAAGGTCATTCCCCCTATTCCTCTCCCTGCAGCCATGGCAGGAGAGACATCCCCCACCTCTCTCCAACCCCTGGCAGGGAGCTGGAGAGAGCCATGAGGTCACCCCTGAGCCTCTTCTCAGGGCTAACCAACCCCAACTCCCTCAGTGGTCCCTGCCCATGTGCACACCCATCTCCACCCTGTCCCACACACACTCACACTTGAGCTTGGCCGAGCTGTTGGCGATGGCTGCAGACCTGGCGAAGAGCTTGACGGGCAGTGTGGCCTTCACACGCCGCACCAAGGGGATGGTGACCCGTGGCCTCTTCACAGGGACTACCCTGGGCACTGGAGAGACTCGGCCCCGGTACTCGAAGAGCCTGAGGAGGATGGAAAGATGGTAGTGCTGAGCAGCCCTGCAGCATCCCCAGCCCTGCTGTGCTGGCCCCAGCTGGAGCCTGTGCGGTGCTGGTGGTGAGTTAGGGCACAGTCAGACCCCACCACTGGCACTGGGCTGAACCACCCTTCACACATCTTCCTCCTCTGAGCTGCAGGGAAGGCCTTTCCCCACAGAAGTCCCCTTGACTGATGCCTCTCCTGCTCACCTGTCATAGAAGTCGTCTCTGTAATAGTCGTAGTCGAAGTCGTAGCCACTGCAGAGACAGAGTCAGGGCAGCAGGGGTTAATTAGTGCTGGTAATTCATTACTCATTGTTACGCCCTCACTGCCAGCCGAATCCCCCAAGTTCAGGAAGGATAGATAAATTAGTCCCCGTCCAAAAGAGACCCTTTCATCCAGCAGGACACAGGAACTGGTTCTCCTGGCTGGAAGGGGCTGCAGGGAGGTGGGTTGAGCCAGGGAGGAAGATTTGGGGGGCTGAAGGCACTGGGGAGGGCAGTGTTGGCAGCAGAATTTCAACCTGGTTATCTCAAAGTGCAGCAAGAAGCTGTGTGGGGAGAGAAGATGTGTGGACCCCTCTCCCCCCAGCCAGACATTGCCCACATCCAGTTTCCTTAAGCTTGAGCTGCATTTTAACCCAAAGCCAGGGCATTTCCCGCTCCCTGGACACCCAGAAAGACACTTTCTCTCTTGCTGCAGCTGGTTCTTCACCAGGCAGCACATGCCAGGTGTGTGTTTGAGCCACCCTGGGGCTGCCAATGCCCTGGCACACTGGTCCCAGCTGAACACAGCTCCTGGTTCCCTGGTGTGTTGAAGCTGAATGAGCACTGGGTAAGTCAGAAGTGAAGCTGATGATTCCTCTTCTGTACTCTGGGCAAAAAGAATGTTTACTGCAGCCCTTGAAAGCAAAGAGTTTGTCCTGCAGCTTGAAACTCTTTAAAGTGGCTTATAGAAAAGGAATCCAATGGGAAGAAAGATTGATGGGGAGAGGGAAGGACTCTGAGCCAGGAGGACCTGCAGCATGGGGAAAGGGAAGGATGAGCACTCAAGTATGTAGCTGAGAGTAAATCTAGTGTCCTGCATCTAAAGCAGAAGTGACAAGAGGAATGTGTGGCTGCTGCTGTGGCTTGGGCCACAAATTCCAGGCTGGACCCAGGAGACCTGCCTGTGCTGCCACTGGGCTGCCCACACAATGCTTAGTCTCAGTAACTGGCTGGTTTCTCACATGGGTTTTTTCCATGCTCCTGGGATGCTACCTGTGCTCCCCAGAAGCCTATGGCAGCATGTGGAGACTCAGCCTATGCCTCAGGAGGACCTGAAGCACAGTCTGGATAGATGGAGCCACCAGGGCTGCTGGTGTGTAGGGCTGAGGACAAGATGATGGCACATGCACCTACTGCCTCCTTTGGGGTTTGCTGATACCACCAAGGCCTCCACAGGGTAGTAAGGAGGTGTTTTATACAGCTGGACCTTATCCCTGAGCAGCTGCTGCCCATGGTGTTCCTGACTGGCTGCGCAGGGTCTTCCTGCCAAGGAAGTAGCACTGGTGGGGGGAGATGTGTCTGTCTGTGGAGGTTTTATCACCACAACTCTTCCAAATTCAACTGCAGGAGGAAAAATAGCCATTTTTGACAGTCTCAGCATAGGCGAATATCAAATTCTGTTCAGCCTTAGTGTCCTCTTCTAGTTGTAGCCAACATTTCTGCTGGGTTCCGAGGAGACAGGAATATCCCACGGCCTCTGGCAAACCACTGCATCATCTGTGTTCATGTATTCCCTTTTCTCAACTGAAAGGGAAAGGTAATTCCTACCACAGCAGCTCCTGTTGGAATAAACTCAGTCTGCTTGTATGGCTGAGATGGGCAGCATGGACCTAGGAGATGGAATTCCATGGAGGGTTTTGTGATTGGTAACTTGATTTTTCTTCTAACCTGGGATGAAACCTGAAAACACAGAAAAACTCCAGAAAAAGAGCTCCCCTCAGCCTGCCAGTCATCACCACTGAGGATGTTTGACTACAATTCTGTTTGAATCCAATAAACATGGAATACTATGGAAATATGAAGTCATTTGAAAGAAAAATTGAACATTTAAGCTGTCAGATTCTCCCTTTTCATTTTTCCCCCTCCTAAGATGCAACTTAACTGAAATTGCTGCAGTTTTGTACTATCTGTCAGTCCTGACAGGCTCTGGCTAACTCCAGCAGTGCCCTGGAGCCAATGTGCTCTGCAGCCACAGGCAAGGGATGACAGTGGCATCTCTCTGCAGCTCAAGGACTCCAAGTAGGATGAAGCTGTATCTTTATCCAAGCAGAAACTCTATCCATGGGGAATTGCTCTTGCTGGGAAGCTCACTGGGGCTTGGGACCACAAGGAAGCTTTAGACCATTTGTTCATAAACAACACAAAGCTTGGGGGAATTTGGCTACACTTTGAAACACCCACACACTTCTTTCTTCTCCCACTATCTATGCTTCTGGGCTGAGCTGGCTTTGCCTCCAAGTCTTCCCTTCCCTTTCCCCTTTCCCTTTCCCTTTCCCTTTCCCTTTCCCTTTCCCTTTCCCTTTCCCTTTCCCTTTCCCTTTCCCTTTCCCTTTCCCTTTCCCTTTCCCTTTCCCTTTCCCTTTCCCTTTCCCTTTCCCTTTCCCTTTCCCTTTCCCTTTCCCTTTCCCTTTCCCTTTCCCTTTCCCTTTCCCTTTCCCTTTCCCTTTCCCTTTCCCTTTCCCTTTCCCTTTCCCTTTCCCTTTCCCTTTCCCTTTCCCTTTCCCTTTCCCTTTCCCTTTCCCTTTCCCTTTCCCTTTCCCTTTCCCTTTCCCTTTCCCTTTCCCTTTCCCTTTCCCTTTCCCTTTCCCTTCCCTTCCCTTTCCCTCCCCTTCCCCTTCCCTTTTTTCCTTTCCTTCCCTCCTCTCACACAGACTCGGAGTGAGGCACAGCGACCCAGAACCTTCGGCAAACTCCTGAGCAGTGTCTAACACAGCATTTCCATAAATTCCAGTGCTGTGAATTCTGGAGTCTAACACTCAGGGAGGTTGCTGGTGTTCTGGGAAGCTGGAACCAGGCTCCTGCAAACCTGCATTCACTCCTTTCTGGAAAATAGCCTCAATTCTGCTAGTCCAGACGGCAAAGTTGAACCCTGACAGCCAGTCTGGGATGAAATATTGTGGGAGCTCAGAGCAGTGCAGTTCTCTGGCACATATTCTACCATAGCCATATTTGTGGGAGGGAGCAAACATCACTCCCAGCACTCTGGAAGTCTGAAAGACTGGTCATTCCACAGACAGGGAATAGTGGTCCAGGCATGGTGAACAGTAAATTAAATGCTCATTATTGCACGATGGATGGAAAGAGTTGATGCATGTTACGGCTGCTGTTAACCAGCAAGATTTGTGCCATCTCTATTCCCATCAGCATAGGGAGTGCTGACGGGAATTCCCCTCAACCAGCATCCCCTGCAAATCTGCAGGGCCACGTCCTGGTGTAGATCCAAACTGGCCCAGGGTGGGAGGGAGTATCTGCCTGAAAGCTGCAAAGGGAGAGCTTAGCTGAGTGTTGAAGGGCTGCTGGGGCTCTGCTGGGTTTGTCCATGCTGGAACAGCATTGCCACCACTGAGGTTTCCCATTCCAGACCAGTGTTGGACCATGTGGCTGAGTGTAAGTTACAGTTCTCTTCATCCCTCATACTTTTTTTTTTCTTTCTGCAGAAAAGTCTACAGTTTTCTCCTGATTTTCACTTTTACTACACCCAGTCAGAACCCTGACACTGAGTTGGTCTCTTCTTCCCAACATCACACCTCGTACCTCCTGACTCAGCATCTCATTCTCCACACCACAAAACTGGCATCAAAATAATGAAGATTTATAAATAAACCACATTTGGGGCTCTGGTTATTTGGCTTTGGGTACTTGAACCTCAGGGCATTCTTCAAATACCTTTTTAAGTCTTCCCTTCTGCAACCACAGAAGCAAGAACTTAATGAGTCTCTCCCATATTCCCAGGAGTCCGGTCTGGGGCTTGGAAGAAAATCTTCACTTCTTGTGAAAATCAAGATAAAGTCTCTAGAGCTGAAGGCTTGGTTACATCTGTAACACACTCCATCTCCCACAGACCTATCCATGTTCCACTTATCCCTCCCACTCCTGTCACTGCTCCTCAGAACAGCTCTCTTGAGGCTTCCCCCGGCCTGCTCCTTGGTTCTCCTCCATTAGTCACCCCAAGGACTTCCCATTTCTCCCCTTCTTCTCTCCCTTTCTCTGTCATTCTTCTCCTTCCCTAAACTATCCCTGTTCTCTCCCAACACGCAGCACATGCTGCTGTGCCCCACTCCTGCTCCCTGACTCGGGGCTGGAAGGAGTGTTCCTCTTGGTACCTCTCTTTCAAGACCTCTGATACGGTTCAAGCAGGTCCTGCCCACCCTTCTCCAACCACCTCCAGGTCCAACACCTGCACAGGTTGGACCATGCCCAGGTAGAATCTCATAAGTGTTGGCCAACCTTGGGTCTGCTGCTGTTGCCTCTCCTTCCTGCGGCGCTGAGCCCTTGGGAGAAGACCTGGATGTGCAGCGGTGTCCCACACTACTGGGGGTAGGGAACAGGGAGCTTGGGACAGCAACTGTGGGAGTGCTGGAGGGCAAACACCAACCTGGAGACCTTGCTGCAAGGAGGTGGGGTGGTAGAGACCTACCTGTACAAGGCAGAGGCTGCTCTCTTCAGCCCTTTCGGTCTGTTGGGTTTGGGTTCTCCAGCCATGTTGATATCTGTGAGGAAGGGACATGGAGCTGTGACATGGCACATCCCTGCTCACCTGCAGCTGTGCCCGACCACAGAGCAGGGGAGGCTGTGCACAGTCCTGCCATGGCAGAAACAAGCTCCTCCACGCCTCCCACCCCATTTCCACCTGCTCATGGCACATCTGGGGACCTGCTGGACCTCCTGAAGAAGGCAAATACTTTCTTGCACTTGGCAAGGCTCTTCCTTTTCCTTCACAAAGTTTCTAACCATCATCTGGAAGACAACTCCCTGCACATGGTCTAACTCCCCTCATATTCAGAACAGGTTTCTCAGGAGAGCTCCGTGCTGCTCTGATAGGCACAGACAATATATCAACCCACTGCATGTTGCTAATTGCTGACAATCCATCCCTTGATCCTCCTGGAATAACTGGGAATGCTCAGCAGGAGCTGTGGTCTGGGCTGTGGGAAAAGCTGTGTGTGGGGCAGGCACATGTCTGCAGCCACCCCAGCTGATATTGGAGGAGCATCTTCTACCAGGGGAGGTGAAAATGATCACCTATATAAACAATCCACTGAGGAGATTTCTCTCCTTGGCCTCGGTGCCAAACTGCTTTAGACATCAGAATAAATGTGAGGCTAATTGGAGAGAGACATTTTACAGAGACATGGAGTCATAGGACAAGGGGGAATGGCTTCAAACTGAGAGAGAATAGGTTTAGATTAGAGATTAGGAAGAAGTTCTTTACTGTGAGGGTGGTGAGAAACTTCCTTCCACTTGGAAGGGATCTTCCCTTAAAGGTCATCTTGTTCCACATCCTGCCATGGGCTGGGATGTCTTCCACTAGCCCAGGTTGCTCTAAGCCCCATCCAACCTGGCCTGGAACACTTCCAGGGTTGGGGCAGCCACAGCTTCTCTGGGAAACCTGTGCCAGTGCCTCAACACACTCACAGGGAAAAATTTATTCACTGATGCCTTGCTTTCTGCTACCTGCAGCTTGTGGGGCATCCAGGCAGCTCCTAGCACATTGAAACTTTCTGGTTTTCATACTGCATGAAGAGACTTTATGGAGAAATGTGGCCAGGCAGGTCCACACACCATCAAAATAAAGAACCTGCAAAATGATCCAAAGCAACAATATGCTGACTGAGTTATTAACCAAGCACATCTTCTTCAGGAAAGCTGAACAGGAGGAGCACAGCCTGCACACAGGGACAGAGCTCTGGGACAGGCTGCACACAGGGACACAGGTCCGGGAGAGCCTGCACACAGGGACACAGCTCCAGGACAGCCTGCACACAGGGACACAGCTCTGGGACAGGCTGCACACAGGGACATAGCTCCAGGAGAGCCTGCACACAGGGACACAGCTCTGGGACAGGCTGCACACAAGGACACAGCTCCAGAGGAGCACAGACATGCTACTATGGCCCAAAGGCCTTATTGTGCCATTCCTTAGACTACCTTCTGGGACTGGCAGGAGGCACCATTCCTGGTGAAGCTGGAGCTTAGCCTATTTCTGAGCTTGTCTAACAAGTATGGTGTCAGGGTGTCACTCAGCTCTCACACTGAGTGTCCCTCTGCAGGAACATTCCAATCAGAGCATGTATTTTCCTTGCTGCCTTTCCCCTCCATCCTCCCATACCCAACTACTCACAGGGGATGCAGCAGAGCATTAAGCCTGAATGCTAACAAGGATGCACATGGCCACAGGACAGGTCCATGGCCAAGTGCTGCCAGTGTGAACATTACACATGTGGTTGCCTTTCTGAGCCTGCAGGCAATGCTGTTTGCTGCAGGGGAAGAGGACTAAATTCGTCCTTACTGCATCCCAGCATTCC